ACTTTATCATATCTTTGTTAAATATTCAAAATAGTTAGAAGAGTTTAAAAATAAAATATTGTTCAATTAGTAGTAAAAAGTAAAAAGATTGTTAGGGGGCAATATGCTGACTCTCTGTAAACCGCTTAGAGAGGCCTGAAAGGCCTATGAAGCGGTATATAAGTCTACTGCTATTGCTATTGCTATTGCTAAAATAGGCTCTAGTTTCCTTCCGGTAGATCATTTTAATCTGCTTTTGCTTCCTTCTGTCTTTTTAAGCTATCTTTATACAATCTCTGCTTTCAGGAGATGCAACTCTCAGGCAGCCAAGTTGCATCTCAGCTTATTGGGAACTGAACCGCGCAACCAAGTTTATGTACCATCCGAAATCAGAAGCAGGGAAAAATCACTGTGGGTGAGAGAACTGGATAAGCCATGTTTTGTGGCTTAGCGTGCTTTGAAAACTGAATTAATGGTGGGCTGGCTTCCCAAATCACAAAAGCAATCCATAGGTCAGCAGAAGTATAACCTACTCTTTAGCTGCCAAGGTTCACTCTGCACAAGCTCTTGAATTGGTACAAACAATTGTTTGTCCAAATTATGTTCTCGGTGAAAAACAGGATCTGGAACTGCATGGATCACAATCAGAGTTTTTCTCCTGCCCCATAAATCACCCTTTCCTTGTCTCTTGTCTGCAAGTGCCGAGTCCTTCCTTCCTTTCCTGAAATTATCTTGTGGATTATTTTAAGACAAAGTGTATAGATGAAATGCAAAACCAGGCAGCAGACGGAGGGCGGGGGTAGTGGTGGTGGTGGGTGGAGGGGAAGCGGGGAATTTTAATTTAATCAGTGGACTGCAGGAAAATTACCTGCCGGCTATATAAAGTGTGTCTCGAATTTTCAACATCAGTTGAAAGTCCAGCTTGTGTTGGGATTCGTTGCCTGAAGGGCGTCCTCTAAATACTGGATATTGCTTGGAATCTGCAAGTAAAAATAAGTTATGCCATCAGTCAGAAGGACGGAACTGAAGAATCAATAAGCAGCATTGATTAGCTGTATATACCGGGAGCAGAAGAGCTTAAACTAAATTCTTGCGCGGAATGTCTTGAATATCAATGAATAAAAGATGGCCAGCAAGAGCCAATGAACTTAAAAAATACAAATAAAAACTTTGCACTTCCCCACCGCCTATTTGGCTGCAGCAGATAGAGAGAGTCCATTAAAGTCCACCTGAAACTTGGCGGCTGAAAGAAAAGGAGAATTGCCGTTATCTGGCGAGGGGGAAGAAGAAGCAAAGAAACAAGGCAATTTTGCAACAACTGACTTTGCTGCTCACTTACAATGGTAGTCGACCACGTTAATAGGCTCATCATCTTCGGGAAAGCTGACAGCCCAGCATTGGGAGATCGCCAGGAGCAGTGCGTAAGCCGCGAGGGGGTGAAACGTCATGGCTGCTGTGTGGAATGGATGGGGACGAGGTGGGGTGGGGGACGGAGCACAACTGGCCAAGCGATTTACCTGCAAGAGAGGGAGGAAATCAGCATTGACTTGGGGTTGATTCTCCATCCTCCAGTTCTCCTCGGCTAGCAAGCTTTGGTAAACAGTTAACAGAGTGGGAAGGGACCTTGGAGGTCATCTAACCCAACCCCCCTGCTCACGCAGGAGATCTATATAAGGGATTCGAACCGCCAAACTGCCGATCTTTCTGATCGACAAGCTCTGCGTCTTAGCCACTGAGCAAACTGAATCAGGCTGCAATTTACATTCTCCACGCTGGCTAAGTCTGAGAAAATGATTCGGCTTGAAAGGTCCTTTTGTATTTGCCGAGAGAAAAAAAACCTGCTACATGACAGCCCCGATTAAAACTTTTCAGCGACACGGTGACATTTGCTAATTTTTTTTAAAAATTGTATGTATGTGTGCTCATTTCACAAGTAAGGTTTCTGGAAGTAGGTGACAACTGTCAGCCTGGCTGAATCACAAGGATGCCCAAACAGAAATACGCAGCCTTGCTGACTTGGCAGGAAAGCGGCTAACGTTCGGGATTAAAATATTAATTCAAGCGCCACCTCTTTTCTTTTCTACTGGCTAATTGATGCATGGTTCTCCGTCAAGACCTTCGCCTGCAAATGAACCAGAATGCCTTCGCGAAGGGCAGGGCACCTCAAATCCACATCAAGGTTAAGCCAATCTTTTGTGCTTTAAAGCTTTGGCAAATTGAGGAAATGTGTTTGGTTAAGATATATTTGATGTCCCAAAGCTCTAACCGCTAGGCAAACCTTTTCAGCACCGGGAGCCGAAAAGAGAGCGCACGTGCTTATCTGGGAGGCAAGGAGCTGCCCAGGGCACATGCGCATGCCCCAAAATGGACTAATCAACACTAGCACTGATGAGGTTCCCTAGTTGGGTAATGCAAGGCCTCCAACAAAACAACCAGAGAAACACCAAGGACCCCTCCTTTCAACCCTGAGCTACAAATATTCTCTTTTGTTGAAATGACAGTCCCTGAATTTCACCATGGAAACCCCAGTTTTGATTTACAGATTCAAATGGAATGGAATAGAATAGAACAAAAAATAAAATAAAATATAGAATAGAACAGAATAAATAGAAAATATGGAATAGAAAACATAGAATAGAATAAAAAGAAAAAAAATTGAATAGAAAGAATAGAAAACATAGAACAGAATAGAAAATCTAGAATAGAATAGAAGATATAGAATATAATAGAAAATCTAGAATAGAATAGAAAATAGAATAGAATAGAATAGAATAGAATAGAAAACAGAAAATAAAATATAGAAAACAAAACAATATAAAATATAGAATAGAATAAATAGAAAATCTAGAATAGAATAGAAAATAGAATAGAATAGAATAGAATAGAATAGAAAACAGAAAATAAAATATAGAAAACAAAACAATATAAAATATAGAATAGAATAAATAGAAAATCTAGAATAGAATAGAAAATAGAATAGAATAGAATAGAAAACATTGAAAACATAGAATAGAATAAAAAGAAAAAAATTGAATAGAAAGAATAGAAAACATAGAACAGAATAGAAAATCTAGAATAGAATAGAAGATATAGAATATAATAGAAAATCTAGAATAGAATAGAAAATAGAATAGAATAGAATAGAAAACATTGAAAACATAGAATAGAATAAAAAGAAAAAAATTGAATAGAAAGAAT